GCAAAAGGAAAAAAACCTTCAGAACTACTCAGCCCCACTGCTAGATGCGGTCATGACAGCATGTCTGCATTTCATCAGTGGGTGCAGACTGGGGCTTTGTGATTTTTCCCAGTTTCAAAGAGTAACTGGGAGAAGGGGAACTGAACACCAACAGGGTGAGAATTTCCTTGGCCTCCAGTGATTCCTTATAATACATAAGCAACCAAAAGGGAGTCAGATGTCATTGGAGTGAAAAATCTTAGTCTCTGGGCTCCTGAGAAACATGCCAGTGCTGATTAATTTGAATTTCTCCCTAAGTAAATTTTCCTGCAAGCGCCCTTCAGCTTGGACAGATGCCACCAAGACATGAATAGGAGTGAGCAAATGTTTGCTGGCATGTTTTTTTAAGCATGGCACACACAGCTGTGTGTCTGAATGTGACGTGTAGGTGTTTGTAAGCATCTCGGAGTCATCTGAAAGTGCTGGGTTAGCCATGTTTCAGCTTCAGTGCTGGGGGCAACAGTCACTTAAATTGGAATTGGTGGTGCTGAGGAGCCTGGTCCTGCTCCACAGGGCTCACTTAAGGGTGCCTGTACCCAGCACAGATGCTGATGGACAGTGTGGGCACAACAGGTTGGAGCCGTGCGTGCAGAAAAGGGACAGTGTCACCGCCAGCACGCTCTGCTGTAATTCAGTGTGGCTGGCTTATCAAAGCCCTAGCAAAATCTGTATCAGGGCCAGTTGCAGTAATCAGCTTGTCTCATGGGCTTTGCAATTACCCTTTCCCTAGCGAAGCCGAGTTGGTGCTTCTTTCTCCTCCAGCAGAGGCAAACATAAGGCTGTGTTCAAAAGCCCTGAAGATGCAGGGAGTCTGTGCACGCTGCTGCAGGTACAGGAGCAGGACAGATGGCAGCTTGCAAAAGTGTTCCGCACTCTCAAACCAGCAGTTCTGCTCTCTTGTTAGGCTTGGACATAGTCTTGAGGAAGATGCTACTGTAGCTAAATACATACATGCAGCAGGCCCTGCTGTGCATGGCACTGCACAAATATGGGTCAGGATCTACAGAGGGATTGTGGTGCCTCTTAAATACCATCCAGCTGCTAATCAGGTTCCAATCTATGTGCTAAAAATCTTTACAAACCTTCATGGAGGCCACTGTGGTCCTCGGAAAATTCATTTCTGCTGGACAAGTCCCAGACATGTCTGCAGAGCTGCTACTTCCTTTGCCATGGTCTGTCTCACTGACAGTGCCCAGGCTGGAGATACGCTCTAGGTACACACATCGGTGTGAGCCCTGTGAGACCCACTGCCACACACTGAGAGCTCAAGGTAACAGTGGATCCACCTGGACAGTTTCTCAGCAGTTCCTG